AGTGGGTGAAGTCAAGCAGCAATGCCAAGGGGAGAAAGGGCCTGCTTCTTTCTCAGTCAGCTCTCACTTCCCATGGGAGCATGGGCTTTGGGATCAGGTGGACCTGAGGTCATGTTCTTACTTAGCTACTCACTGGCTTTGTCATCCTGGGCGGGTTATTTTACCTCCCTGAAGCTGGTTTTACGTGAGCTTAGGGCTGTCAAAAACAGATATCAAGGTTGGGAGTTAAAGCCAGTGTAAAAAAAAAAAAAACCACCAAGGCTATTAAAGGGATATTAAAGCAGGCATGGTGGTGGGTACCTGTTGTCCCAGCTACTCAGGAGGCTGAGACAGGAAAATCACTTGAGTCCAAGAGTTTGAGGCTGCAGTGTGATGTGATTACACCTGTGAATAGTCACTGCAGTCAGCCTGGGCAACATAGTAAGACATTATCTCCTTAAATTTTTTTTTTAAACCAGGAACATCAGTAAATGGTAGCTGTCATCATCACTGTCATCATCATAATTTTCTACCACCCGTCTTGTCAGTATTCACAGCAGCCTTTTCCTGTGTTAGTTCATGACTCAGATCTCTGCTAGGTGGTGTCTCCTAACACTACAGTTTGGGTAATGTCATTAACAAATCCCCAGTCCAAACAGACACTAAAGTGAGCTCGGCCTGTCTCAGGGCTGTCATTACTTCCGCAGCCTCTGACGAACCTCACTTCTGGGCTCCTAAGGATAAGCCAACGCCCCCACTCCCTTCTTTCTTTTGATGAGTCCTTGTCTCTGCACAGAGCTTCTGGTGAAGGTAGTGGGAGCTGTTCTTGCAGAGCACATGGGATTCCAAGGGCTTGGCACTGGGCCAGGATCTTGTTTCCATGGTAACTGACACTGTTTTCTCCGAAATTCTGCCAGATCCTGAAGACCTTCATGGACAATCTCTTTGCGATCGTCCTGCTGAAGCAGGCCACAGCTGTGCGCTGCTTGGACATGAGTGCCTCCCGTAAGAAGCTGGCTGTGGTAGATGAAAATGACACTTGCTTGGTGTATGATATCGACACCAAGGAGCTGCTTTTTCAGGTGAAGTCCCTGAGGAGGACCAGGGACATCGTCCTTTGATTAGAGATCCTCCTCTTGCTTCTTAGTCCCTGCAGGATGCTCTCCTGCTCTGGCCCAGGCAGGTCTCTGGGAGGAGCAGTGAGGGGCAGGGACCAAGCACAGGCTCAGAGTCCCAGAGGCCCTGGGTCACAACCTGCTTCTCCCATGCAGGCACAAGCAGTGGGGCCTCGGTCGTCCTCTTGAACTTTGGTTTCCTTGCCAATGAGGGAGGCATGTCATTGGCATTCAGTGAATGGGGTGATGACTCCATGGGGGGTGTGCTGTCGGTGCGCAGTGAATGGGGCGATGGATGCGCTTCCTTTGCAGAAGTCTGCGTCTCACCCGCTGCAGGCCTGCCTGTGTCTCTGCGCACCTGCACGGGAAGGAAACAGGATCAGTTTTGTCATCCAAAAGGGGGAAAGAGATGGACAAGTCTGGCCTTCTCCTAATTCACAAGAATGCTTGAAGAGCCAGCAGCATGCGAAGTGCTTGGATCTTTGGGGGCGTAGGTGTTGTTTGGTGTTATCCAGCCCCGTGGCCGAGGAAATGTGTCATAAGAGAAGGCAGCCTGGCGGCTCCATGCCCAGGGCCTGGCTGGCTTTCTGCTGGGCTCGCGCCATTCTTTGTCTCTTTAGGTCTTTGTAGGTGCTCAGGACTGTTTTCTCGAATGAAGTTCCCCCCAAAGCTGGAGCCCCTCTTGACTGGTTACCTTGGCCACCGCAGGGTTTCCTGATGTTATAGGCAGATTCAGTCCCCTTACCAGGCTCCTCCTTGTACTCGGCGGCAGAATCGATAGCAGGAGGGGCCTGGAGTGCGGAGCAGCCTCAGTCAATTAGAAGTGGTTACCTGGCCACCTCTAGCTCGGAGGTGACTCCCCATCAGTCTCAACTCACTCCTGTCCGTGAGAGAGTAGAATGGTTCAGGGGAAGAGAGCACAGCCTTCAGGCTGACCTGGGCTTGCGTCCTGCCTGCATCCCTTACTGTGTGAGCTTAAGCAAGTTAGTGAGCCTCTCTGAGCCTTGATTACTTTTCTCTAAAATGTGATTAGTAATTGCCCCTCACAGAATTGCTGCAGGAATAAACAAGATACCACAGTGTCTAGCTCAGTGCTGGGCACAAAATAGGGCCGGACATGTTACTTCCCTTCGCCCCAGCTTCACCTCCCACCTATGGGGGGGGTAGCTGCCCGAAATGTGAATCTGTGTCTGAGCCTAGAATCACACAAGTGTGGAAGGGCGTGTGCGCTCCCCTGTCCCCGCTGCTGGCTCTAGCAGGCTAGGGGAGGTGATTCTCAGCCCTGCCAGGAGACATCAACATTTCCACCTATGACATTGCCTGCTGGCTTTCCTCTTCTCCACTGTCCCCGACCCCTGCACATAAAACAGCTATATATATTTTTTCTCTCATTATAGAAAACAATCCACACTCATTATAAAAGACTCAGACATTGTAAAACATTCTAGGCAGAAAGCTGTGAGCATCTGCTTGTCTCAGAGGCTCCAGGGCTCAGATGAAAACTGAGGTGCAGGGGGTGCCTCCCAGGGAGACTGTGTTTTCACAGTGTGTGAACTGTAAACGCAAAGACAAGACATGCTTTTCAAATATTACAAATAACTCACTGTTCTTTTTCTTATTATCAAACAGAATAGATGCTCATGACAGATTCAGGCAAACAAAAAAGAAAGATTTTCTAATTATGCAATTCCACCCACCCAGAAACACTGTGAATCGTTTGGAGCATATTCTTGGAAATGTTCTTCTGTGTATAGAGATGTGTATTTCTTCTGTAATAGAAGTGGAATCCCACTTTGCTGATTCTCCACTTTCTATATAGGGATTCATGTTTCAGGAGAATATTTTTCAAAAGTAAAACTTGCCTACTCAAATATTCCAACAACACGCAGATGCATAGAGGGGCTTCCCTCTGTTCATTTCTTTGCTATCCCCTTTCCCTCCTTTCCCTCCATCCCACTATAAGCAACTTAGTGGGATTCAGTCTTTAAAAGGGTTTTGGGGTGAAATGTGCAAGCACCGCCCACGCCCAGGGTGGTTCTCATCCCTGTGCTCTAGGAGCCAAACGCCAACAGTGTGGCCTGGAACACCCAGTGTGAGGACATGCTCTGCTTCTCGGGAGGAGGCTACCTCAACATCAAAGCCAGCACCTTTCCTGTGCACCGGCAGAAGCTGCAGGGCTTCGTGGTCGGCTACAACGGCTCCAAGATCTTCTGCCTCCACGTCTTCTCCATTTCTGCCGTGGAGGTGCCACAGGTAACTGGGGGCACCTGTCCACTCTCAGCTCTGGCAAGGCCGACAAGACCAGGGAAGGCAGGCGCCTTGCTGGTGCATTGCGGAAAACGTAGCAAGGAGAGAAGTGTGGCAGCTGTGATGTTGAGGGAGGCAGTCTGGGCCTGGAACCTGCAGCCCTGTCTCCACTCCTTTCGACCTGTGTGACTGGAAGCAAATAGATCAACCTCCCTGAGCCTCAGTTTCTTCCTGGTCCCCCTTCTGTAGGGATGGGAGGGGTATGCAGTGTTGTCAGCAGAGTGTGTTTTGCGGAGAGCCCAACGTGGGGCTGAGTGGAGAAGCAGCAAAGCCGGGAGTCCAGCAGGGTGTGTGCATGAGCGCATGTGTGATGGTGGTGATGTGTGTTCGAGAAAGAAGGGGAAAGAGAGGACGAGTGGGTGGGTGGTGAGTCCTGAGGTCTGTGAGCCAATAAGGGAGCATGGGACTCTGCACAAGCCTCCTGAACTAGGAGGAGGCCAGAACAGAAATGAGGTGCTGAAATGTGGAGCCACAGAACGGGGGAGGGCAGAACCGCAGACAGGAGGCTGAGATTGACCTCCCGAGTGTGGGCCGGCCTCTCCTCCACCTCCTGCACCCCACGCGGATGGTGCTCACTGTAGGACTGCCATAAAACAGAGACGCGCACCAGCAAGAAGCTTCAGCCCTCAGCATCCCATCCTCAGGACAGAATCACTCCTAAACATGTTGGAATACATCTGCTTAGAGCTTTTCATGTGTATATATAATATATGCATAATATACAATTAGGAGCATGTGATTTCATAAGAACATTTTCAAACCAAAGTGAAATTGCACTGCAAATACAGTTTCATGACTTTCATCTGCATAAGTATTGTTACCTATAGATGGACCCTCAGATTTCCTGTATTCCCTGAGGCTGGCCTGTAAACAGGACTTCTCATCCCCTTCCTTTATGGCCATCTTCTCATCTCACCTCACATTCCATTATGGCAGCCCCATCACTGTCTAGAAGTGCTGGCGGTAAACTGGTCATCTGGCCCGTTCACTCAGCATGTTCTCCTGAAGCATGGTTCTATGTCAGTAAATGTTCTTATCCAGTATGGCAAAATGCTAAGGTAATTACAGACTCACATAAGTTGTAGGAAATAGTACAGAGATCCCTTATATCCTTTGCCCAGTTTCCCCCAATGGTAACACTGTGCAAAGCTCTAGGACTATCTTCCCACCCATGTCAGCATGTGTAACCTCCCCCCACAGTCATGGCACTGAACACGGCCACCACCACAAGGTGTCTGGTATTGCATTGCCCTTTTACAGCCAGCTCCCCTCCCTCCTGCCCAGGCCCCCACTCATTGTATTTATGGCTGAATTTTGTCTTGTCTTGTGGATGTTTCATGACTGACAGACAGGCTGAACAAGCAAAGGGTATGCAAAGAAGCCCCAAGCAGGAGAGGAGGCTCCCCGCCCAACACTTAGTGCAGTCGCAGGCTGGCTCTGCCTCTCTTGGCTGTGTTGTCGAAGGCTCAGTGTCCCCATCTACACAAAAGGGCCCCCACCAGCTCTGATTCCAAGGTTCCAGCTTCAGTCTGTGTCTGTGAATAGTGCTGGATGATGACATGGAAGGCACCACAGGGACCTGGTAATGCCCATTGAACTAAGAGGACACTGAGGCTACAGAGGAACGGCTGCTGGAGGCTGCAGGGTGGGGCAGTGGTTCTGGCTGGGACTGGTTCCAATCTGTCATCTCCCAAGTGCTCAACATTGTACCCATGTTCCTGGAAGGAGGAAGCAAGGGAGAGGTGAACTGGGCGGCCTCAAGTGGATCTGACTCTAGACCCACCTCAGGCAGTTGGGGGTTCCCGGGCCTCGGTTTCCCGTCTCTCCCCAGAAAGGCTGTGAAGCCAGGAGCCCCTGGTGGCTGTCACACAGGTGGGCAGAGGCCCCTCCTCCAAGGTGACTGCTGTGTTTCTTCCCAGGCTCGGAGTCTGTGTGCCCGCGTCAGAGGCCACCACTGGGCAGGGTGCTTACCCTGGGCCTCCCTGATTCTCCCCACGCAGATCCAGAACACTGGCCCGGAATGGAGACCTCGTCATGGCCCTCCCTGCTTACCACTCGCAGTGGCTGCCCATGCCGTTCTGCCATTCAGAGGCAGAGACAGAGCCTGCACCTGGGCTCCCGAGGGCTGGGGCTTGGGTGCCCCAAGATGGCTGCATCCACCATCAGAGAGGGCCGCCCCACGGCCCGACCCCACACCTTGCAGCTCCTCACAGCTCTTCCCCAGCCCGCGGAGGCGAAGGCAGAGGACAATGGCTCAGAAAGTCCCACACTCGGGCTTGTGTGGGAATGCGGAAGAGAGCAGCTCAGGGGGGCCCCGTCATCGTGGGTGATGCTGAGGCCCCATAAAGTGTCAAGCAGAAAGGGCCTGGCTGTGGCCCCACCGCCTACCTGCCTGCTGGGGCACCAAAGCCTCGCCAGATTTCCTTTCACTTTGGGGGCAAGTGTTTCCCAAGTATGAATACTGAATCTCCCCCACTTAATGCCAGTTTGCAGCCTGAGGAAAATCCTGTGGGCCCTCAGGCTTGAGCTCCCCAAGAGCCCCTCAGAGTCTGTGCTCCTGGCCTGGTGCCGTTCCCCACTCTGGAAGCGCGGGCCCTGTGAGAAGCGCCTTCTTCAGGTCTGGCTTCCACCATCGAGGAGGCTCTTAAAAATGCCACAGTCCTCAAGAGCATTGGCCAGGGAAGCTTGGGTGAGGTGAAGTTGACCCAGCACGAATTCACCGAGACCCAGGTGGCCGTGAAAATAAAATACATAACTAGGGGCTCCCCCAGCCTTCTAAGTCTACATGAAAAGGTAGAAGTCATGAAGGCCCTAAGTGTCCCCATCATCATAAAGCCATATCATGTCACTGGAACCTCAGACATCCCATACTGAGCTATGGTGATACCCACAGTGAAGACCTTTTCCACCAAACATTCCAGCCCAGCCACATGGAGGAGGAGGAGGCTCAAGTCATGTTTCTGTAAATACTATCTGCCCTCCAGTACTGCCACCAAAAAGTCAGCTGCCGGGACCTGAAGTGGCAGAACTCCTGGATGAAGACCACAACACGAAAATAGCAGACTGTGGCTTCAGCACCCCATGTTCCCAAGACCAGAGGCTAAGCGCCTTTGCCTGGCCTCCCCTTAAGCTGCCCCAGAACTCTCCCTGGGCCTGGAGTATCACGGCCCCACAGTGGTCGTGTGGGTCTTGGCTCTCCCCCTTCATTACATGGGGCCAGGGCCCTGCCATTTGGCAGGCAGAACTTCTCAGGCTCAAAAAAACATACTTCAGGGAAAGTATTATGTACGGTCTATATTCCTTCCGAACTGAAATATTTATCAAGAAATTTGTGACCCTTGACCCCAGAGAGTGACCGACACAGGACCAGCTGATGCAGGACCCCTGGGTCAATACTGGCCAGGAAATGCTCAGGCCCCACATACAGCCACTCCTCAGTGACCTGGGCCCCCTAACAACCTGGCTCATGGTGGCCATGACATTCTGGCACATGGAGGAATGTGATTAGGAAAAAAATAGGATTATTCCATGGCCACCTACCTAATGCTGGGGGGCCCACTGACCTTCCCAAACCCCAAAGTTAAGTCCGTCCTTTCTGTCCAACCAAAGGAGAGTCAAAGGCTGGAATGTTCGGTGAAAAAGGTCTTCACTGTGGCCTTTCCCACCTTTACTTCAAAAATCCAGCAGCCCAAGGAGGACTAGGCCCAGAGCAGAAGATGCCCAGAGAGCCACCTTGCCTGCCTGTTCCCTACTGGGCCTAGAGGTGAGTTGAACCAATCCCAGCAGATCTCCGAGTGTGGCCCTGTGGGCTCCCCCTCCACCCAGAGCACCAGCAGCAGTGGTGGCGACCCAGGAGGAGTCACCTGTCACCAGGAACAGCCTGGGAAGCCAGTTCCGTCCATGCAGGAGGCCCAGGAGGAGTCACCTGTCCCCAGGAACAGCCCAGGAAGCCAGAGCCCTCTCCACTGGGCATCAGATGGTGTGACCTCAGTTTCTCCCTGTGGAGAGAGCCAGTGCTGCCAGTGAGCCACTAGATTTGTCTTCAGAAACCCCGAACATGGAGACCTAAAGCCATAAAACATCCTACTGGATGAGGAAGGCAACGTCAGATACCTGGACTTTAGCTTCGGCATCACACTTCCAAAGCAGCAGACACTGCCAGCCTTTGGTGGCACGTACCCCTACGTGGCCCCAGAACTCTTCCTGGGCCAGGGGTGCCAGTACCCGACATGGACATATGCTTGGGGCAATTCTATGTTTTGTTCTTGACATGCGTAGTTTAGGTCAGAAGAGGCTGAAGTGGACTCATAGTGAGCCACCTTTTGAGACTTTTAGAGTTCAACTGCCTGAGAAGGGCCAGAAGTCAGGGCAGAAGACCACCACTCCTGCCAGCCTGCAGAGAAAGCCAGACATTTCCCATGAGGCCCCTCAGCATGACCCCACGGCCTCCCCCTCCAGCCAGAGCACCAGTAGAGAGTACATCAATGGTACTCAGAGGCCAAGAGCGGGTTTGGGGTGGGGAAGAGGAAGGAAGTGGAGAGTTGTTAGCCAAAGGTCAAAAGCCTGAGATGGACAGAAGGAAGAGGTTTTGACATCCAGTGCACAGTAAGGTGACTAGAGTCAATGAGAACGCATTGCATGTTGAAAAACACCTGAGAGAGTCCATTGCAAATGTCTTTCAGGTTGTCCCACGTTCAGCATTCAGCCGAAGTCCACCGTTCCTGCCAATGCACCTGCCGGCCTGCAGATGAAGCCAGTTTCAGTGAAGTCCCCCAGCATGACCCTGTGGTCTCCCCCTCCACCTAGATCACCATTAGCAGTGATGAAGACTCAGAAACATTGCTGGCTCAGCAACAACCATCACAAGAAGCTCACGTGCTACAAGTGGATAAGAAGCCAGGGCTGTGGCAGGGCTGCCAGATGCTGCCTTTTTTTTTTTTTTTTTTTTTTTTGAGACAGAGTCTCACTCTGTCACCCAGGCTGAAGTACAGTGGCACCATCTCTGGCTCACTGTAACCTCTGCCTCGTGGGCTCATGGCCATACCACCCTGAACGTGACTGATCTCGTCAGATCTCAGAAGCTAAGCAGGGTCGGGCCTGGTTAGTACTTGGGTGGCAGAAGATGTGTTTCAATTATTATTATTATTTTTTTTTTGAGACGGAGTTTCGCTCTTGTTACCCAGGCTGGAGTGCAATGGCGCGATCTCGGCTCACCGCAACGTCCGCCTCCTGGGTTCAGGCAATTCTCCTGCCTCAGCCTCCTGAGTAGCTGGGACTACAGGCACGCGCCACCATGCCCAGCTAATTTTTTGTATTTTTAGTAGAGACGGGGTTTCACCATGTTGACCAGGATGGTCTCGATCTCTTGACCTCGTGATCCACCCGCCTCGGCCTCCCAAAGTGCTGGGATTACAGGCTTGAGCCACCGCGCCCGGCCCGTGTTTCAATTATTTTAAGAGTATTCTGGGCCGGGCGCGGTGGCTCAAGCCTGTAATCCCAGCACTTTGGGAG